ACTGAAGGAAGGGAACCAACAACAGGCCATGTTTGTTAATCACCTTATCCTCTTGTGTGCTTTTTAGTTTTAGATTGTGAGCTTAAATTCAGTTGCTCTTAATCTGCTGTAATTGTTTTTTTTTAGAGACAGAGTCTCACTTTATCACCCTTTGTAGAGTGCCATGGCTTCACAGCTCACAGCAACCTCCAACTCCTGGGCTTAGGCGATTCTCTTGCCACAGCCTCCTGGGACCATAGGCACCCGCCACAATGCCCAGCTATTTTTTTGTTGCAGTTTGGACGGGGCTGGGTTCAAACCTGCCACCCTCAGCATATGGGGCTGGTGTCCTACCCACTGAGGGACAGGTATCATCCATAATTTTTTTTTTTTAAAACAGAGCCTCAAGTTGCCCCCCTGGGTAGAGTGCCATGGTATAGCTCACAGCAACTTCCAACTCCTGGGCTCAAGTGAGTCTCCTGCCTCTGCCTCCCAAGTTTCTGGGACCACAGGCACCCACCACAATGCCTGGTTATTTTTTTTTTGTTGTTATAGCCATCATTACTGTTGTTTGGTGGGCCCAGGCTGGATTCAAACCCACCACCTTAGGTGTATGTGGCTGGCACCTTAGCCACTTGAGCCACAGGCGCTGAGCCAATTTTTAACTTTTTTGAGACAGGATCTTGCTCTGCCACCCAGGCTGGAGTGCAGTAGCATCCTGGGCTCAAGCAAAGCAATCCTCCTGCCTCAGCCTTCTAAGTAGCTGGGACTACAGGTGTAGTCCCCAACCTGGCTGACTTTTCTAATTTTTGTAGAGGCAAGGTCCCGTTATGTTGCCCAGGCTGGTCTTGAACTCCTAGCCTCAAGTGATCCTCTGGACTCAGTGTCCTAAAGTGCTAGGATTGCAAGCACCTCCCACCGCTGCACCTGGCCTTAATCTGCTATAATTCTACGTGGCCTGAGTCGAACTTGTATTTCCTTGTTTTAGCCAAAGCCTGCCCTCACTTCATTTCTATGCTTGGACTTTCCAGAATCATTCTGTAGGGGCAAATCCAAACCCCCATCAGAAAGCCTGAAGGCAGGCCTGTGGTTAATTCTCCAGGGAGACCTCCCCCACTCTGAACCCAGTCTGAGATGGGTAAATTTCCCAGCCATAGCTCTCTGGCAGCAACTAGACTTTTTCCTGCCAAATTCTTTCATTGAAAGTGTCAATTTCCAAAGGACCAAGTTTTATGCAGAGACTGGTTTCTTTCCAAACAGTCTGATCAGCTGTGAAAACCCCAAGGCCCTGTGTGTCTGTACTGGCAAATACTGTCAGGGCAACTAACTGAAGCTATCTCTGCAGGTTTAGCCCAGGAGGTTTCCCATGGTCTCTCCTTAACTCAGCTATACATTGAAAAGAATGAGTGTTGATTTTTGAATTAGTATTTCTGCATATTTTTCAGAGACAACCACATTGCAGAAGCGCCAGTTTTAGCATCTCCCTCACAAAACACACATCTAATGACGTCATTCTCCACTTACTGCTTGCTCAATAAAGACTAAGAAGGATTTTTTTCTTTTTTCCCCCAAATTACTTCTCACCTAAGAATCTTCACCTGGCTTACAAGCCCTCCTTCATTGGGCCTCTGCTAGTCCTACATCACCTCCCCCCTCCACTGCTCCTTCTGCTCCAGGCAGAGCATAAGTCACTTTATATTACTGAAATAGGTCATGCTCTGACTCAGGGCCTTTGCATATATTTTCTCTCTGCTTGCAACTCTTCTACAGCCCACTCCCATTTCACCTATTTACACCCTTCTGGCTCAGCTCCTACATCACTCATCACCTCCCCTGAGAAGCCACCCAACCCTTCCCTCCCCAGCCAAGGTGAGACAGACCCCAGTTACACCTTCATAAAGCTTCTGTACTTCTTCATGGCTCTAATCACAGTATCAGGACAATTATATCTATACTACCAATTGTGATTATGAGAAAATTTTATTACTGTCTCCCCCACTGGCTTGTGAGCTCTGTGAGGGCAGAGATTGGCTTCTGTAGCCCTAGTACCCAGCACAGGCCAGGTACCCCAAGCCACGTGTTGAACTAAAGAAATATAAAAAAAATACAGACCAGGGCAAAAATCTAGGGGTTCTGATTTTCTGACTGTGGCTTCACCTTCGACAGGCCAGGCATGGAGGACTCAGGGCCTTCCTTACAGAGAATTCACCAACCAAACCATCCCTAGTGTAGATGAGGAGAGAAAGGGAAGTGACCACAGAGCTAAATGTTTAGGATTTTAATGAGGCTGCCAAGGAGAACTTCTCCTCATTTCTCCATACTGGATCCTCAGGGCTCGGTGTTAGGTTGGGATAGGGGTGTAGAAATACAAGGCTGGGGAGAGGGGAGTGAATATGAATGTGGCTGAGAAACTAGAGCTGGGACCACAGAAAGGAACAACTGAGAAAAAATAGAAAAAGGATGCAACCCCCAGCCCCTAAGTCAGAAACCCTAGGCTTTTAGGATCGAGGAGCTAAGATATTGAAATAGGAGCGTGTCCTTCTTACCTGTAAGTGGTATCAGTCTGAGACCAAAGCACCAGAGAGAGGCTAAATTTTGGCCCTAAGTGCCTTGAAGGTTGTCACTTTAGGTCTGCGGAGTTAGGAAAGGGCAACACCTTGGCCTAGAGCAGTGGTTCTCAACCTTCCTAATGCCACGACCCTTTAATACATTTCATGTGGGTCGCAACCCACAGGTTGAGAACCACTGGCCTAGAGCATTGACAAAGAACATCACCTTGGCCTAGAGAAGGATCCCTTTGGGTCAGGAAGGGGCATCCTTTTGCCCTGGGCTGAGAGAGTGGAGCTAAGTCCAAGGAGGAGGAGTTTGGAGAGGCAGAGTAAGAACCAAAAGAAAAGATGGAACCAGGGGAACAGAAAAAGAACCCACCCTAAGGGAGAAAGTTCTGGAAGTGGAGCTAGGACCAGAAGGGTAGCCAAAGGAGTGAAGGAGAGTCCCAGCCAGCGGTTCCTGTAGTAAGAACTAGAAGAAGCCCCTGTGATCAGAAAACCAAACTCAGAAAGACAGCACACAGGGAAATGTGCAGGGTAAGCCTCTGGGTGCAAACAGATGGAAGAGCGCTTATTTACCAAGGGTCAGAGTCAGGCCCCATTGCCACATACAGAGTCAAGACCACTTGAAGGAAGCACATGTAGGGTAGTGGAGGGCTGGTTTCCATAGCAGAGGGTGAACTTTACCCAACACACAGTATTATCCAAGAAGTGGGGTTAGCTCCATAGGTGACAGCAAGATAGGAGCTGGGGGTAACAGAGCTAGGTCCCAGAAGCAGCAAGGCTACCCCCAAGTGGCAGAGTCAGGTAGGGGAGGAGTCATAGGCAGGCTCGCGGCCCCAAGTCTTGCGCAGGCTCGGTTCCCGGCACTCCGCGGATGTCCGGCAACAGGCGGCAGCCAGCCACAATGTCCAGGCGTTCGGCCAGCGCGCAGAGGTCCCCTCGAGCCAGGCGCACGCTATGGGC